GAGCTTTTCCAGGGCTGGAGGAGCTTTCCTGGGGATGGAGGAGCTTTCCCAGAGCTGGAGAAGCTTTCCCGGGGCTGGAGGAGCTCCCACATCTGGAGGAGTTTTCCTATGGCTGGAAGAGCTTTCCCAGAGCTGGAGGAGCTTTCCCGGGGCTGAAGGAGCTTTCCCAGGACAGGAGGAGCTCCCAAAGCTGGAGGAGCTTTCCCAGAGTCAGAGGAGCTCCCAAAGCTGGAGGAGCTTTCCCAGATCCCAGAGCCAGAGGAGCTCCCAAAGCTGGAGGAGCTTTCCCAGAGACAGAGGAGCTCCCTCTCAACTCACCCGAGGCCCTCAACCTGCCAAGGGAAAACCAACCCCCCGGAGCTGCTCCCGGGGCTACCAAGGGCTTGGGAGGAGGAGGAGGAGGAGGAGGGAGGGCGGAGGAGGAGGCTGAGGAGCACAGCCGGGCACTCACGGCGTTGACAGCCAGGTTGCCGCGGGTGTTGGCCGGGGTGACGCCGTAGAGGATCCCGGCGCCGGCGATGGCCCCGACCAGCTGGGCCAGCACGTAGAGGAGGGCGCGGGGGAAGGAGATCTGGTTGCCCACGAGGAAGGCGATGGTGACGGCCGGGTTGATGTGGGCGCCGCTGATGTGGCCGAAGGCCTGCACCAGGGAGCCGATGGCGAGGCCGAAGGCCAGCGCGATCTGCAGGATGCTGGGCAGCGCCGAGGGCCACTTGAGCGCCGAGCCCAGCCCGATGAAGACGAAGATGAGCGTGGAGAGGAACTCCACGAAGACGGCGCGGGCGAAGGCCAGGGTGAGGATCTCCTTCCTCATGGCGGGAGGGCAGCGGGTTCGGGATCGCTGCGGCTCCGGGCTCCCGTCTCCACGCCCGGGAGCGAGGCCATACCTTTCTATATATGCAGGAGCGGCAGGAGCCGGGTTACAGGGCGAGGGGCGGAGCCGGGGAATTGGCCGGTCCTCCCAAATTAGCAGGTGAAACTGGAAAAGTTTCCACCTGAGAACGTCCTCGGAGCCTCTCGGTGAACCGGTGACTCAGCTGCTGGTGGCATTTCTCTCCCTTGCCCTCTGCAAACAAAGAGCCCCTATAGGGTGTCAGTGGTCGTTAGATAACGAGGCTGTTGCATAACGAGGAGGCCGAGCTGCCTCCTCTGCTGTTCCCTTTTACTGCCTCTCGACAGGTTTTGGGTGGTTCATTAGCAGAGGTGTAGCTCGGATTCCCTCCCTCCCTCCCTGTGCTTGCAGGCCAAAGAGGGCTGCATTCCAGGTGGAAAACCCTTGTTGTTGTGCTGCAGGAGCTTTCCCAGAACCAGAGGAGCTTTCCTGGGCTGGAGGAGCTTTCCCAGGGCTGGAGGAGCTTTCCAGGGGCTGGAAGAGCTTTCTCAGGGCTGGAGGAGCTTTCTCGGGGCTGGAGGAGAGTTCCCAGGGCTGGAGGAGCTTTCCTGGGGCTGGAGAGGCTTTCTTGGGGCTGGAGGAGCTTTCCTGGGGCTGGAGAGGCTTTCTTGGGGCTGGAGGAGCTTTACTGGGGCTGAAGGGTCTTTCCCGGGGCTGGAGGAGCTTTCTTGGGGCTGGAGGAGCTTTCCCAGCACCGGGAACTTCAATTTTACCCCGGACCTTAAAACCTTAAAGGCAAATCCAAGCCCTGGAGCTGCTCCCAGGCCGTTCAGAGCTCCAGGAAATGCTGCTCTGCCGTTGTCCTGGGAGCAGGGCAGGGGCTGGGGGGGGGATTTGTGTGTCCGGGGAGCTGTGGGAGAGCTGGAGCATCCTCGGGATGCTGGGATGGAGGGACGGGATGCTGGGATGGAGGGACGGGATGGGAAGGGCCGGGGGGGCAGAGCCTCCCTCCCGCCTTCCCTCCTCCCTGCAGCTGCCTGTGCCTGGGAGTGCCGACTTCCAGAGCCTTCCAGAGCCCTGGGAATGCAGTTGGAGCAGGGAATTCTCACTCCCTGACCCCAGGACCAGCATCTCCTCCCCGCCACCCCTTTCCCTGCTGCCTCTGGAGCTGTGGCTCCTCCGGGCCGATGATTCTTCTCCCGGGAATGCCGCACCAAGCCCGAGCTGTGCGTGGACACGGGCCGTGTTTACAGTCTCCTGTCACGTTCCCTCCATCCCAGATCCGTGGCCGGGAGCGTGGGGGGAGCGGGAGGGGACGGAGGGCTCGGGGCGGGAAACCTCTCGGGTGACGCTCAACAAAGAATTCTCGGTTCTCCTGCGCCACGATCGGGTTTTTTTAAAGCGGGTTCGGGTGCCAGCTCTGCTCTCCGGGCTCAGCTGAGCCCGGCTTGGCTTTCTCCCGGGCTGGGCTTATCCGGGGCTGCCCCGCGCCTCCGGCTCCAGCCCTCGGGGAGCGAAGCTCCGCTGGCAGGATGTGGGGAAAAGCACCTCAACCCCTCCCCGAGCTCAGAAAGTCGGCTTCCCCGCTACCTCCTGCTGGGGGCTGCTCAAAATCCAGGGGGGATTTCTCTCCGGAGCAACACGAGGGGATTGTCGCCCAGAGCCGAGGATAAACGAGCTTTTTCTCCCCCTTTGTACCCAAAATCCTGAGCCGAGCAGAGCCGGAGGGCCCCGAGGGAGTGAGGATCCATTACAGCCCGAATTCCTGGCGGTGGTTTTGCCCCGGATCCGCAGATCCCGGGGCCGATTGCGGAGCCCAAGCCCAGATCTGTTATCCTAGAAACACCCGGGCCGTTGGCGTGTTTTGGTGAAAGTTTTGCAAGCCGGTATTTCAAGACACCCTGGCGGCATTCCAGGCTGGAGTCATCACCCACCGCTTCCCCGGGCCCTGGCTGCGGCTCCAGCTGGATGGAACGCTCCCTGTTCCCATGATCCAAACCTTTCCTGCACGTTCCGGCTCTCCCTCGGGGGCGGCCGCACTTCGCTGCCACTCCTCCGCCATCCCAAAAAAAACCCCAAACCCCTCCCAGGCTCCCGAGCGGGGATAATGACAGGGAAAATCCTGCGGCTGACCGGGAGATATCATCAAATCCGGCTGGGAATGACAGGAGAAAGCTGCCGGAGGGAAGCAGCGAGACGTTTCTCCGGGAACGCGCCGCGCAAAGCGGCCTCTCCCGGGGGGCTCTTTGGGATTCCTCCCTCCCGGGGACGTTCCCGGCTCCTGCGGTGCCAGCTGGGAGGGCACCCAGGAACTCCCGGCGGATGAGAATGGGCACCCAGGAATTCCCGGGGGATGGGAATGGGCACCCAGGAATTCCCGGGGGATGGGAATGGACACCCAGGAATTTCTGGAGGCTGGGAATGGACACCCAGGAGGAAGGATCAGGAGCTGGGAGGACACCCGGAAATTCCTGGGGGATGGAAATGGACACCCAGGAATTCCTGGGGCCTGGGAAGGGACCCCCAGGAGGCAGGATCGGGGGCTGTGAGGGCACCCAGGAATTCCGGGGGGATTAGAATGGACACCCAGGAATTCCTGGGGGCTGGGAATGGACACCCAGGAGGAGGGATCAGACACTGGGAGGACACGCAGGAATTCCTGGGGGCTGGGAATGGACCTGCCTGGCTCCGGGAAGGTTCCCGGCGCTCCCCCCCTGGCTCCGGGCCCTCCCAGGAGCTTGGAGGAAAGGCTTGGAAAGCGCCTTTGATGTGTCAGGAGGAATCGGGGTTGGGCAAGAGCTCAGGGAGGCCTCGGGCACGTCGGTGCTGACAGACGGACACGGGCACGGGCCGTCGGTGCTGACAGACGGACACCCACGAGGGCACGGGCGCCTCGTGTCCCCCCGGGCTGGGGCGGCGAACCCCGGCAGGGCGGGCTGGGCTGTGTCCCCTCCTCCTCCTCCTTTTCCTCCTCCTTCTCCTCCTCCTCGGAACGAGCAAACCCAGCCCCAGAAATCGCCCGAGGCCGCCCCGCAGGCTCGGGGGGTGGGCGCTGAGCCCCCCCGGGGGGAGGCAGGAGCCGGTGCCTCCCCCTTTCCCGGGGCTGGAAGCACCCATCGGTTTGAAACCCGGCGTCTTTTGTGGTTCTTTTGGTTACAGAAAATTCATTAAACGCCGGGTTTTTTAACCTTAACAGGTTATTTCTCTGCCCGGGGAGGGTCCTTCCCGAGCTGAGGGGCCCAGAGCTGGACACGGCACTCCAGGGGTGGCCTCACCAGGTTTGGGTTGGATATCGGGAAGGAATTCTTTCCAGGGAGAGTGCTCAGCTCTTGGAATGGGCTGCCCAGGGAGGGGGTGGATTCTCCATCCGTGGAGGTGTTTAAGGACAGACTGGATGTGGCATCAGTGCCACAGGCTGGGAACCACGGCGGGGTTGGATCCAGGGTTGGGCTGGATGATCTCAGAGGTCCCTTCCAACCCAGCTGATTCCATGATTCCGTGATTCTGTGATTCCATGATTCCGTGGTTCTCTGATTCTGTGATTCCATGATTCCATAATTCTGTGATTCCATGACTCCATGATTCTATGATTCCATGATTCCCTGATTCTGTGATTCCATGATTCCGTGGTTCTCTGATTCTATGATTCCATGATTCCATAATTCTGATTCCATGATTCCATGATTCCATGACTCCAAGGGCTCTGCAGGGGATCCGAGGGGACCCAAAGCCTTTATCCCTCCTTTTTTTGCAGGAAATCCCCCCGAAATGAACCAGCTCCTGGTTTGTCCCAGGACAGCGGGATGGGAGCCGTTGGGTGTGTCTGGACACTTTAGGACATGGGACATTTTGGGACATGGGACACTTTGGGACACTTTGGGACATGGGACACTTTGGGACACTTTGGGACACTTTGGACACTTTGGGACATGGGACACTGGACACTTTGGGACACTTTCGGACACTTTGGACACTTTGGGACACTTCGGGACATGGGACACTTTGGGACACTTTGGGACACTTTGGGACACTTTGGGGTTGTTCTCAGCCATGGAATCCTCGGGGCAGGGAAGTGAAGCCCCGGAGCAGGAGCGGGTCGGGGGCAGGAGGAGGCTCAGCAGGTCTGGCTTAGGTTTAAGCTCAGGTTTAAGCACGAACTGTGCTGCCCGTGGGACTGGGTTTAAACCAGCCGTGATTCCATGAGAAACTCATCTCGTTTCCAGGCTGGTTTTGGACAGTCCAGCAGGGCCAGGTCCCACCATCCCACAGGAGCAACCTTGGATCCTCCCGGCCCTTCCCATGCCAGCAGGGTCAGACCCTTGGGAAAAATGGGAATGGGGTTGGGTGGGCTCTGGGTGAGCCTCTGGAGTTGAGGGACGCGGAGTCCGGACACGCTCCGGGAGTTTTCCGCCCCGACCCCTCTGCTCCGCGTTCCATCGGCACGGGAATCTCAGGAGACCCCAAAGCTGCTTCTCCAGGGATTTGGACCCCAAACGGGGCTGTGACGTCACTGGGGGGGCACCCCCGGCACCCCCGGCCCGGGGGGTCCCACCCCCCAAAAAGGAGGAATTGCTTCGGTCCTTGTGGGGGGAGCAGGTTGGGAATTTTGGGAATCACGGAGAAATTTGGGGGCGGGTGAGAGGGTGATGGAGGGCAGGGAGAGGAGGGATGGGAAGAGGAAGAGGAGGGGTGGGAAGGGGAAGGATGGGAACGGGAAGGACGGGAAGAGGAAGAATGGGAAGAGGAAGGATGGGAAGGGGAAGGATGGGAAGGGGAAAGATGGGAAGGGGAAGGGTGGACAGAGGAAGGACAGGAAGGAGAAGGATGGACAGAGGAAGAACGGGAAGAGGAAGGATGGGAAGGGGAAGGGTGAGAAGAGGAAGGACAGTTGGATGAAGGAGAGGAGGATGAAGGAGAGGGGAATGAAGGACAAGGGGATGAAGGAGAGGGGATGAAGGAGAGGGGATGAAGGACAAGAGGATGAAGGACAAGGGGATGAAGGACAGGCAGAGGAAGGACGGGCAGGGGAAGGACGGGCAGAGGAAGGACGGGCAGAGGAAGCACAGGCAGAGGAAGGACAGACAGCTGAAGCACCGCGGCCAAACGCCGCCACCTGGTGTCCATAAAAAAACCCTTCCAAGTCCCAACCCGGGCCGAAATCCAGCTCTGCCCCATCCCAAAACCGGGCTCGTGCGTCCTCCAGGGCGGCAGAGCCACCGGCAGCTCCCCCCGAGTGGGAAGGGGAACATCCAGGCAAACGGGAGAGCCCCGAATTCCCGGGAAAACCACGCGGAGGGAGCGGGATTGGGAAATCAAAAGGAGCAGCGCCAGGAGGGAGATGGGATTCGCCTCCCGGAGCTCCCGCGGGCCGGGGGACAGCGCTGACTGTGTCAACTGGGCAAGGGGACAGCGCTGACTGTGTCACCCGGGACAGGGGGACAGCGCTGAGAGTGTCACCTGGGGACAGGGGACAGCGCTGACAGTGTCACCCGGGCCGGGGGACAGCGCTGACAGTGTCACCTGGGGACAGGGGACAGCGCTGACAGTGTCACCCGGGACAGGGGACAGCGCTGGCAGTGTCACTTGGGGACAGGGGACAGCACAGACAGTGTCACCCGTATTGGGGGGACAGCACTGATAGTGTCACCCGGGACAGGGGGACAGCACTGACAGTGTCACCCGGGACAAGGGGACAGCGCTGAGAGTGTCACCCGGGAGGGGGGACAGCGCTGAGAGTGTCACCCGGGACAGGGGACATCGTTGACAGTGTCACCTGGGGACAGGGAGGACAGCGCTGACAGTGTCACCCGGGACAGCGGGACAGCACTGACAGTGTCACCCGGGAGGGGGGACAGCACTGACAGTGTAACCTGGGGACAGCGCTGGCAGTGTCACCCGGGAGGGGGGACAGCGCTGACAGTGTCACCCGGGCCAGGGGACATCGCTGACAATGTCACCCGTATTGGGGGGACAGCGTTGACAGTGTCACCCGGGCCGGGGGACATCGCTGACAGTGTCACCCGGGTGGGGGGACAGCGCTGACAGTGTCACCTGGGGACAGGGGACAGCGCTGACAATGTCACCCGGGACAGGGGGACAGCGCTGAGAGTGTCACCCGGGACAGGGGACATCGCTGACAGTGTCACCTGGGGACAGGGGACAGCGCTGAGAGTGTCACCCGGACTGGGGTGTGAGAAAAATGTCTCCCCTGAATTTTCGAAAAGCGGCAAAAACTCGGGAAACAAAAAGAAAGGAATTTATTCAGCGCGCCGGGTCCGCTCTCACACCGAGTTCTTCGGGGAGAAAAGACCCCTTTGGGTTTAATTTTTATGGTTTAATTTTTATAATTTTTATAGTTTTACAAAATCCCGCCCTTTTCCTGATAAGTTTAATATATTCGCTTTTACCTAAAAAGGTTTCTTTTCTCCGAAAAAGGGCTTTCCCTTTCTCCCGATTGGCTGCAAAGCCGCCAAAAATTATGGATCTTCCCTTGTTCTTAAACCCAAAGAGAAAAGAAATCTCGTGCACGACACGGCCCCAAAAGATTTTAATTTTTAAGGACTTTGGCATTTTCCCTTTATCCAGCCCAAAAGGACCCCTGATACTCAAGTTCAGTCTGTGGAACTTGGATATTTTACAACTTCATAATACGCCTATAAATATATATATTTATTTATATGTTTATATTTATATATTTCACACATATATAAATATTCATATATCTATATATTCATATATTATATTTATTATTATATATTTATATTAAAATATATATTTATATATTTATAAATGTGTAAATATATATAAAGGTATATAAATATATGGAAAATACATAAATCTATATATTTATATATTATATTTATTATTAAATATATTTATATTAAAATATATATTTATATATTTATAAATGTGTAAATATATAAATATATATTTATATATTTATACACTATATTTATTATTATATATATTTATATATAAATACATATTTATACATTTATAAATATATATGTATAAATATATATAAAATATATAAATATATAAAATAACATAAATTTATATGTAAATATATAGTTTTATATATATTTTTTAATATACCTATACACACACACATATATATTTTTATATTTTTTTTATATGTATATATATATATATATAAACACCATATTTTTATTTCTCCTAAGGGGCCATCTCTGACAGCGTCCTCCGGGTCAGGGGACATCACTGACAGCGTCACTCGGCGCCTCTTTGGGGGCGTTAATTATAAATAATAATAATAAATAATCATAAATATCCCCCGGGGGCCGCGGGGGGTCCGGACGTCTCCCGGCAGGTCGAGCTAATTAACTTCCCCTATGTCGTTATCGGCACTAATTAAAGGCTCGTCAGGCCCGCGCTGACAGGGGCACTAATTAGAGGAAGCCCCGCGGGGGAGCGACGGCGATAATTGCGCGGAAGGTCCTGGAAGGGGAGAGCGGGAATGAAGGAATCGGCTCTGCCGGGGGCGGGCGGGAGAGACACCGGCCCGAGAGAAAATAGAAAATAAAGAAATGCGATATAAAATTATAATGTGAATTGTCGATGGAAAATAAAGAAATAAAAATACGAGTTTTTTAATTCCAAAACAAAATTAGACGTCGTGAAGCTGGAAGGTGTCCAGTTGCAAATTGGAGAGGGGAACAGGGAAATATATGTTCCTAAATGTCATATGATGTAATATAATATAATATAATATAATAGAAAAACCCCTCCAATTATTCCTAATATTATAAATTATATATATTCTTAATATTATTATATTCCTAAATATAATAGAATATATTATAATATAATGTAACCCCCTCCAATTATTCCTAATATTATATATATTATATATTCCTAATATTATTATACTCCTAAATATAATATAATATGATTTAATATGATATAATATAATATATTATATTATATATTATAATATATGATATGTTATATTATTTCATATTATGTAATTCTAATATAAGTTCCTAAAAATTAAAATGTTTCTGGGCCATTTGGCGAATTTTGAACATTTTGAACACCACTGGGGGTTTCTTTTTTTTCTCTCTGGGCGAAGAACAAAGGAAGATGCATCAATTTTTGACATTTGAATTCATCAAATTCACCCCAAATGGGGATGAATAAATTCATCAACTCACCTGAAATGTGGATAAATAAATTCATCAATTCACCTGAAATGGGGATAAATAAATTCATCAACTCACCTGAAATGGGAATAAATAAATTCATAAATTTACCCCAAATGGGGATGAATAAATTCATAAATTCACCTGAAATGGGGATAAATAAATTCATAAATTCACCCCAAATGGGGATGAAT